GATACCATTGGGCTGCAGGGTTCCCAAGCGGAATATGAGTTGCTGAGTTTGGTATAAACATGAAATCATATACAGAGACCTGTTCCCTTCAGCCAAAAGGAATATTTTTAAGCCTTGCACCACCTTTGGATTACCAGAACATTAGGTTTTCCATGGGAACACCACAACTACTCAGAGTTGCCAATGAATTTAAAATCCTTTTCTCCGATAATTTAAATTCCTTCAGACATTTTGAAATTTGGCATTCTTGTATTTGTCTGGAATGCAAGCTATAAAGCTTCAGCAACATGACTCTCTTTTTAGCAATAATAAATTGTTTGTGATACATTTCTAGTTTACTCATTGGATTTCTTTTTGCTATAGCAGGTCAATCATGGAGGATGGAGTAAACAGGTGAAAAATGTTGGCCCTGGTGTATAGTAGGTAGCTCAGTTGGCAAGGTCAAAAATCACACGACACAAACAATAGGTTTATTTGAAGACACAAGCTTTCGGAGTCTTGCTCCTTCTTCAGGTGTCATTGAGAGAGATGGTATCAGACACAGAGTTTATAAGCAAAAGTTTAAAGGGTCATAGAACTGATGAAAATGTATTGAACAAATCTAAGATGGCTGTTAAATCTTGAATCGGTGAGAAAGGATTAATATGCAAGTCCCAGAATTTCTTTTAAGTCATTGTCCTGAGATAACTAAAGGTTTTGTCAGTATACCAGAGGTGACATCTCAGGTCAGATAATGCATTTTAGGTGAGAGGCTTTGTTTAGAATCTAGCTGTGTATTAACTTGGAGGCAGACTGGTTTTATTTCCAAAGTAGGAATTTATAAAATGCCACATTGACTGTTGACAAATTGTGTGCTTTTTGAACAAAATAGAATATATCTGCAATTACAAATCTGCAAATGCAAATTCACCCCATCACCCCCCTGTCCCCCAGTGGGGGGGAATCACTTCAGCAGTCAAAGATATTTGGCCTCAGATCTTTGTGTAAACATCCTGCAAGGCGAACTTCGGGATACACAACAACACAGCGTCACCGAGCAGAGGCTGATAACTAAGTTCGGTACCCATGCGGACGGCCTCAACCGTGATCTGGGATTCATGTTGCACAACAGGTGACCCCACCACACTGTACACACACACACACACACACACGCACACACACACACACACACACACACACACACACACACAACACTTTGGGGTGCATTTGCAGATTTGTAATTGCAGATACATTCTATTTTGTTCATAAAACATACAATTTGTAGACACAGTCAGTCAATGTGGCATTTTATAAATTCCTACTTTGGAACTAAAACCAGTCTGTTCAAGCAGCAAAAATTTTGTTTCTCTAGTTACTTCTAATCAACTTGTTCAGAGACATTATTATATACCTCTGGAGCAGGTAGGACTTGAACCCAGGCCTCCTGTCTCAGAGTAGCGACATTTTCACTACACCATTAGACCCCTCTTTTTTGTTTTTATTTCTGTATGCGAATTGCATGCATGAGTTGTGCACTCAGAGAGGCACTTGCCTCATAATATCTGATTTAATCCCCAGTTGGTGGCAGTTTAAAGCTTGTTATAGAATTGTTCAAGGTTTTATCCTGTGTATGGGTCAACAGTGCAGTAAAACTGACTGGAAATTGCAGGAAAAAAAAGTTTGAGGGAAGAAATAACTGACTAGCACTGGAAATCCTCCATCCGTCAGCAGATTGGCTGAAGATAGCCTTGCAAAATCTGAACAGATTGGCAACTGTCTTTGTGCTCATCTAAGGTCTGTAAGAGAAGTGTGATTTTACTTATTCATTGTCAGGTTATTTAGTTTACAGTGTAGATTTATTTTTCCACCTATCAATTCATTAGAT